CAAATCTTATTTAGTTGAAGATGGCGGGGGCTCCCTGTAGGCATCACTGCCACACTGGGTTTCCTGAGGAGCAATGGAAACCTGGGGACAAAGGGTCATGAATAGACATACCCAGGACTTACAGGAGAGCACAGACTCTTCCTCTGTTTTGGTGACTGTACTTCTGAAATTTGGAATCAGATAGTCTGACTCCCTAGATTTTGTTCTTGATTTTAAGGTTGTGTTGTCTACTCTGGGTCTTTTGCCTTTCCACACAAGTTTTAGAATTCTGTGGATTATATATACAGAAACTCTTGTTGGGACTTTGGTAAGAATCGTTTGACCTGGTGGATCTTTATGGAGTGAGTTCTATATCTTTCAGCACATGAACTCAGTATGGCTTTCCATTTTATTTAGATCCTTGGTTTATTCTACCTGCATTCTATAATTTTCAGCATATACATACCTTACCTGGATTTTTTTTAACCGATTTCATTATATATATATAACTTAACTGCTTTTTGATTTGGGTTTTCATGTATTTGTTGTAGAAAATAAATATGCAATTAATTTGTGTGTATTGAATTTTTATCTTCTGGTTGTACTGAATTCAGTCGTTGACTTCAGGAACATTCTGTTTTGTTTTATTGAACCGAAGATCAAATCCAGGGTCTCCCATATGCTACCACTAACTACATCCCTAGCCTTCTTTGCACTTTTTTTTTTTTTTTTTGGTTTTTCAAGACAGGGTTTCTCTGAGTAGCTTTGCGCCTTTCCTGGGACTCACTTGGTAGCCCAGGCTGGCCTCGAACTCACACAGATCCGCCTGGCTCTGCCTCCCGAGTGCTGGGATTAAAGGCGTGCACCACCACCACCCCGGCTTCTTTGCACTTTTTATTTTGAGGCTTATGAAGTTGCCCAGGCTGGCCTTGAACCAGTCCATATCCCAGCCTTAAACTTATGGCCCAAGCTCTCATGTATCAGGATTTCAGGTCTGTGCCACCAAGCCTGGCTTCTTGTGATGATTTTAAAAATTGCTTGGTTATTTTCTGCCTCTTTTCAATCATGTAACCTATAGAAACAGTTTCTTCCTTTCTCGTGTGTATCATGTCCCCTTCATGCCCCACCTTACTGCCCCGGTGACACTTCTGCACTGAGTTGTATAGAGTGGAGTGGGGACAGTGGACACCCCGGTGTCAGCATCAGTGTCAGAGAAAAAAAAGGATTCAGACTTCGTGATTGCCAGTGACATCATATGCCAACTGCCCTTTGCCCAGTGCTCTTCGAATTTCTGCATCAGATCTGTAAGTGGACAAAGGATAGGTATGCTCAATGTATAGCTAGTTTTCATAATCATGTGTATTTTTGTCTGTTTGGAACTTATTGACTGAAATAGCATCTTCTTTTGCCATGCATCTCTGACACATGAAACATGTATATTGAAAAACAAGCACCCAGAATGCACTTCTGCCAAGGTTCTTTATATCTTAGCCTTCTCTTATCTCATTCTTTGTCTCAGTATTTGTCTCAGTTTTCAGGCTGATACACCCAGCCTTTCAGGCTTGCCACTTCCTGCCCCTCTCTGCCTTTATATTTCCTGAGTTACAGTCTGTCCCTAGAGTCAGGGTCCAAGTTGGCTGAGGAGAGAATGAGCTAGGAAGACTGCAGGGCCTTTGCAAAAAACCATTCCCACGTGGCACTCAGTTGTGTGGATTCCCGCTTGGTCTAGACTTGCATTTCTGGTCCATGATTCAGAGGGTGGGAGGGGTCTTTCCCAGCTCTCAGGCAGGCAGATTTATTCACATCCTGTGTCTCCATGCATTGCATACAGCAGTGTCATAGCTCAGGAGACATCCTGGACTCGAGCATCAGGCAGCCTCTCTCTCTCTCTCTGGCTGGCCGGGGTGGTCTGAGCTCTGATTTTCACTTAGAAATTTTTTTTAACTATTCAAAGTCTGTTTTAATGACTTAATGGGCATTTTAATAGCGAATTGGGAGTTTTGTAATAGAGTTAACCTGTCAGGTTCCATTTTAACTATGGGTGTCCTGATATCCTGAATGATTACTAATTTCATCACATGTGGCCAGTCAGACTCCCTGCTCTAAATCATTAAAATAGGGCTGGGAGTACGACTCAGTGTGGAGCATTTGCCGAGTGTTATGAGGACCCAAGTTCAGTCCCCAGCACCACCAAATAAGTAAGTAAATGCCAAAGAGCAAACAGTCCATTAACTATACTGGAGGGAAAGAAAGAAAACACTGCCAGAGGTTTCTCAGAGCCTTCAAATTTGACTCAGTCTTTGGACTAGGGAGATGGGCCCAGGGGATAAGGCATTATCCATGCAAGTGGAAGACTGGAATTTGGATCCGCAGAACCCTTGTAAAAGTCTGGGCGGTCGTGGCAGCCCCTTTAAATCCCAGCGCTCTGGGGGCAAAAAAGGTAGTCACCAGGCAAGCCGGCTAGCTAAGGGTGGCCAGGTCAGTGAGCGCTCCATTCAGTGAGAGACCTGACTTAGCAAAATAAAAATGGAGGGCAACTGAGGAAGACACCCTATACCTCAGCTTCATGCCTCCACATAAATGTGCACATGTGTACATCACACACACACCACCACCACCACCACCATACACACTCAAAAATAACAAAATAAAATAAACTCAATTGTTTGCTTCTTCGGTGAAATGTTTAAATTCTTGACTCATTTCCTCTTGACAATGGCAAAATGCACGGGGCTTCCAACAGAGGGGACCCCTCTCCTCAGGGACATTCATTCTTCCTTCCCAGCTTTCTTTTATTCTACCCTTTACAAAACATGCTGCCTGCAGGCTGAGGAAATGATGCGGTGAGTGAAAATACCTGCCACACAAGCCCAATGACACATTTGGTCACTGAAGCCCATGGGGAAAGCCAGGTGTGGTGGTGTCCATAAGTAATCCCAGCATTCCCTTGGCGGGATGGGAGGCGAAGACAGGAACAGGAAGAAGCTCCAGAACAGCTAGCCTGGAGTATGCAGTGCAGCGGTAGTAACGAGACCCCAAAGCAGTGGTTCTCAATCCCCCCAAAGGGTCACATGGGGGTCGAACTACCCTTCCCCAGGGGTCACATATCAGATATCCTGCATATCAGATATTTACATTACAATTCATAACAGTACCGCCAATTACAGTTATGAAGTATCAACAAAATATTTTTATGATTGGGGAATCACCACAGCATGAGGCACTGTATTAAAGGGTCATAGTGTTAGGAGGGTTGAGGACCACTGCCCTAAAGGTGAAGAAAAGCATGACTCCCCAGAGTTTTTCACTGACCACACATGAACCTGCACATCTCTCTCTCTCTCTCTCTCTCTCTCTCTCTCTCTCTCTCTCTCTCTCACACACACACACACACACACACACACACACACACACACACACACACACACAAATTAAATAAATAAATAAATGTCTGCATTGTAGAAAACTTAAAATTTTGCAAGTTGAAAGTATGAAGGAAGATAGTGATCTCTTGACTGCAAAGACTTCTCCAGAAACGTGAAAGGAACTGAATGATTTGACCTCTCAGTAGGGATTTGGTTAGGTAACAAAGCATATGAAGTGCATACACAGTGCAGTGGTCTAAAGGGGGGCTTGTATATCTGGGCTCCAGAGAAGGGCAGGACTAACCTGCTGCGTCTCCCTGACCGCCTGGCTTGTCAGAGGAGAGTCCATGAGCAGAAAAGCACTGAAGACTCAAGCATTGGGAAGATGCATTTTCTTTCTAGATACCATGGAACTCTAGGGAGATCATTAATAAGCATGTGCCTTTTAATTCTTTTTTTTATGTAAAAGGCTAGAGTTTTTTTTTAATCACATAGAGAAATGTTATGTTTTTAAAAAGAATACTCTTTCATGCAAAATTTTATATATCAAGACTGGTGGTTTGAGTTCCATCCTGGCTACATTAAACAGACCCTGGAAAATTGCGTCCCAATGCTTCTTCAATTTTAAAATAGAGGTAAAGGAAGCCCCTTTTAAATGATTGCACTGTTTGATAACAGAGAAGAGTAAATATAAAATAATGTGGTTCCTTGAGACCTCTAACATTTAGCATCTGTATGTATTGGGGAACCATCAAAATCTTCTGGCTGTCTTGAAAAAGATCATGAATGCTATGGACTATACTTCAGAAAACAAGAGCTAATTACTCCTTTCTTACTGTGTGTTGATACAAATTTTCCTAATTTATCTCTGCTCCCTGCCTTTCTACCGTTCTGTCTACTGTTCTGCTGTCTTCTTCTGTGGGATGGATAGATTTAATAGAGCCGCAGTCTGATCTAAGCAGAGTGAGTAGCTGTAAAGCACTAATCAAACCCAGTGTAACTTGCTGACCACTGCGGCATCGGGTTTGCTCGGTCCTCCCTCCCTCCTACCCCATCATTTTATATTAGACAAATGGAGCGATAGCATGGTGCCTGAGCTTACAGACAGGAAGCCCAGTTCCATTTCCTCTCCTTTTGATTTAATAGACTCCGTGGTTTTTGTGCACATTTTGTTATTTTTTTGTCTTACTAGATTTCTTTTCTTTTTTTTTTTTTAGTTTGTTTTATTTTTTGAGAAAGGGAGGGAAAAAAACATGAAGTTGGGTAGGGAGGGTGGTGGGGAGGATTGAGAGGAGGTGGGGGAGGGGTATTACATACCATCTATCCATGCCTGTCCATGGCTGACCAGAGAGGATTTCCCATTAGATCCTGTAGGTTTGGTAGACACCAGGCTTGCTCTTCCATCCTGCCAGCCCCACGATCATTATATCATCCTACTTGCTTCTTAGGGGTCCTTCTAGCTCTTACTATCCCACAGCACTTACTGAATTTTTAACAAACTTTAACATTTTACATCATTTTTCAAGAAAGAATGACAATGGTCCCTAGCCTGCTACCATATCTGAAACAGGATGGGATCAAAGTTTCACAAATTTGAACAGGTTCAAATAAATATTTTTAAAATCTTAGAAAAATAAATGTCCAGACTCTACTTACAAAAGCTCTTCCCGAAACAGTAATGTCGGAATAGCACAGTCACGTCAGCGTTCAGCTCCCGAGAGGCTTCAGTGGTCACGCTCAACTTCAGAGCTGGCTCTCGTGGCCTGTACAGTAAGGAAGGATAGGCTGAAAAGGACTAACGAAAATATCCTGGTAAAAATCGCGTTCCCATGTTTTCTCCAGGACTTAGTAACTAATGTACAGTCATTGTGTAATTCTTTATCACGGTTGGCCTTTCTAAAGCACTTAAAAACATCGTCAGATATTTCATGCCTTGAAACATTGCTGCAAGACCCCAAACAGGCTAAAGGCAAAGGGCAATCCTGTCACCATTAGGAGTACTAAAGAGAAAGCCACTAACATGAAGTGGAACACCGTCCCGTCTGCCCCGGCATTCTGTCCAGTTTGTGGGACGGTTTTCCTACTTGGTCTCATGACGTCATTGTGTGTTGGGGTCGGGGGGCTGCAGGAGGAGCAGGTTTGGCAGAGGGGAGAGGAAACCACTACAGAAATCCAGCCTTTGGTGAAGCGTCACATAAATCATTTGGTGAGGTAGGGAGCACATTCAGGGCGGTATGACCACGCACAAATACAGAGACGATCTGAAAGTTGGAGATGTAAGCAATGGGCACTCAGGTCTCAGTTCGTTTTCTTTAAAGACCCATCAAAATCCAGATGTCGTGGCTCAGAATTGGTTCACCCATCTGCATGAGCCTCTTAACAGGCAGTATACAGAAGCAACCTGGCTGTTCCAGCCTCAGCCAGGCTTTCTGTGTGGATGCACACTCACCCTGAATTTAAGAAGAATGGGCAAAGGTAAAAAGGACCCAAGTAATCCTTTTGGCTCTTGGAAAGTAACCCACTTCATAGGCTTCTATAGGAACAGGTGTGGGACTGTCTTCTGGAGCATGGGTAGCCTCTCCAGGATCACATCCCGGAGGAAAACTGAGTCTTGTTCCGCCAGCAGCTGTCAGTTGCCAATAGTTCCTGGGCAGGCGGCGGGACTTTGGGAGCCCTTCCCCCTCATGCTAGGATATTGACTGATTTGCTTCTGCACAGATCTGGAGCATGTAGTCACAGTCCGTGTGTGCTGCGGCCCTGCGGTGCCTGGCAAGTACTGTTCTGACGCAGATGTCACCTACCTCTGGTTCCCACCATCTTTCCGCCCCCTCCTCCACAAGGATCATTTGTCTATCCTTTTTTTTTTTTTTTTTTTTTTTGGTTTTTCGAGACAGGGTTTCTCTGTGTAGCTTTGCGCCTTTCCTGGAACTCACTTGGTAGCCCAGGCTGGCCTCGAACTCACAGAGATCCGCCTGGCTCTGCCTCCCGAGTGCTGGGATTAAAGGCGTGCGCCACCACCGCCCGGCCCTTTTTTTTTTAACTCTGCAATAATGTCAAGTGATTTCTATGTCTTACAACTAATTGCCAAATATTTGCCAGCCCTGGCGAATGTAAGAGTTCGTGTTTGAATATGGCTGTGTGCGTTCCCAGTGCATACAACACTGGCCTGTCACTTTTCTAGACCTGGGCAATGGTGACGTGACATGGTCGTGATGCTCCTGCAGCCCACATCTCTGTCTCCCTCATTTTAATTTGCTGTTTTGCAGCCCAGTCTCTACTCCTGAGCCTGGATTATGTGGACGTTTAGACTAAACAAAAAGCTTTTTCAGATTCTTAATATCTAATTAGAGATTCATCTCAACAGCGGATCATACCCGAATGACTCATGAGCATCAGATTTGTGAGAATAAGAAAGCCCCACCTGTTGGGCAGAGGGCCTACTTGGAAATGTGTAAGAGAAGTGAAATGTGAGATGTATTATTTTGTGTGCAGAAATGGTCCCACTTTGTAATTTTGTGGAGTAAAAGAAACCCAAGAAAGACCTCATTGTAATGTTGTCAGGTGCCGTCACAGTGTGGCTCTGTGAACGTTCTTCTCACACTAAGTAACATACGCAGAGGTGGCAGAGACACACCTGACCTTCCTAGTGGTGTGGGATGCTGATCCCACGTGTCACAGGCACAGTAGGAGTTGAGGATTTGAGACACAAGTGGGAATCACAGCTGATCATCCCCAGTGCTGTTGGAGCTGGGGATGGAGGTGGGACACTGGGGATGGACACTGGGGATGGAGGTGGGACACTGGCAATGGTCCATCCACTTAAGGATTAGCAGCTTTCCGGACTAATAGTGTGGGTTAAGTGAGGCCACGGTGAGGGTTTCTTGGGCAGTGTGGTCTGTCTCTCCTCTCTGGCTTTGTTCCCTGTTAGAGAGGGTCAGAGGGAGCAGGAGAAGGAAACAACAAGAAACTTATTTGTTACAAATCAAAGCTTCCCTGTCACAAAGACATAAATAAGTTCCATACAGCAGCTGCTTTAAATTAAACAGAGCCTGGGGTGCATAGGAGTCTGGGGCTGCTCACATAGCCTTGTCCCGCTTACCCATGGTGCCTGATGCTGATTCCTCCCAGCGACTGGAGTCCTGAAGCCAAGTCTCTCAGTACTGAGTGCAGGCTGCTGCTCCTGCCTTTTTCTGTCAGGTCAGTGTCTGGAACAGAATGGGGGAGCGCCGCACCCCCCTCACTGCGTGTGTGTGTGTGTGTGTGTGTGTGTGTGTGTGTGTGTGTGTGTGTTATTTCGGTTTAAGGTTCAGAATGTGATAAAACTCCAGCCCCTTTGGAGACTTGTGCTTGTAGGAATCTGTTTATCCCTCCCTCCTTCCCTTCCTCCATCCCTCCCTCCCTCCCTCCTTCCATTCCTCCCTCCCTCTCTTCCTCCTTACCCCCATCCCTCTCGCCTCCCTCTCTCCCTCTCTCCTCCCTCTCTCCCTCTCTCTCCCTCCCTTCCTTCTTCCTCCCTCTGTCCCTTCCTTCCTTCTCCCTAAAAGGTAGAATTTTAATATCTGCTTTTAGCACCAAGCTTACAAAACAGCTGGAAATTTTCTCCTGGGATGGTGTTGTCTAAAAGCTCATTTTTACCTAGAAGATGTTCAATACTTCATCAGGGTACTACAGCTCCAAAGGTTGCAGTCAAGCAACCCCCGTCAGTACAGTCAACCCAAGGTTACCTGTAGCCTGTGAGCAGTGAACCTCTGTGACTCCTGTGGAGGCAATGGAAAGAGAAGGCTTCAGCCTCTCTAAAGGGAGAAAAGTAAAACCCAGTGACCTGGGTAGTGTTGTTTTGGTTTGGTTCAGTTGAAATTGTCAGCCATTCACAAAAGTACAGTAATAGGGATGAGTCTTCATATCCAGTGCCTGGCTTCTGTGATGACCGCCATGTTATCTTTTGCCCTTGGCAACTCTTTTCCGTTGGTGAACTGTCTTCAGGAAGCTGTATTTTTGAATCTGTGTCTTGCTGTCTTGTATTATTTGTGAAATTTCTCAGGCTTTAATGCTTCAGACCTTGTTCTGCCTCACCTCTTCCCTTCTCACCTTTGAGATTCCAGCTAGCGTGCATTTCCCTCCTGTGAATCACGATAGATACATTCATTCGTCCTGCATCCCAGTTTACAGATCCAGAGCCAGGACGAAACTGATCTTAAATTATTGAGTTATCACTTCTGGATTTTCTGTTGCCAATTTTTATATAATTCTGATCTTTGCCAATAGCTTTTCTTATTTAAAATTTCAAATATACTTATTATTGTTTGTTTGTTTGTTTAGACAGGGTCTCTCTACATAGTCCTGGCTGTCCTGGAACTCACTATGTAGACCAGACTGGCCTCATACTCACAGAGATCCAACTGTCTCTGCCTCCAGAGTCAACACTCAGATCAAAGGTATGCACCACCACATCTGACTTACTATAGTTCTTTTAAAGTTTCTCTCAGAACCTAAATATTTTAGTACAAAGGTCTGATCCAAGGTCTCTGTTTCCTCTCCCTTGGTCTTCTGATAGTTACCTTCTTGTGCACCTGGTTATAGTTTTACCGACTGCAGAATGTTGTACAGAGAAATCAAACAGATAGCTTGAGACTTGGATGATGGTATGTCATTCACAGAAGTATATTTTTGCTGCTAGCAACCAAAGTAAAAACATATCACCTGAATTCAGGCAAGGTTTGGATGAAGTGATTCACTCTGGGTAGTGGCTGGTCTGTGTCTGGTCTACCATACTATTCCTAGGATGCAGTCCTTTGGGAGCCGCTGATAAAAGCCTGGTGTTGACTCACATGCCTCCTCCTGTTGAGTCCTCCGTGTAGGCCACTGTGTGTCCCCCTGTCATGAGGCTATCAGAGCCATTGCTCAGCTGGTTGGTGTTCCTGGTCCTGGCTCTCTTTTCAAAGCCTCACAAGGAAAAGTTGCGCATACAGCTCACCTCCCTAAGCTTCCAGTCTTTTCCACAAATGTGAATCATTAGGACCCTGCTGCTTCCATGGTCTGGCTTACCTTCAAACAGGGTTCTTAAAATATTTTGACCATTTTTTCTTGTACGTAGCAGGCGTTGGTCTGAAGCAAGCTAATCCACCATTGCTGGGAAAAGAGATTCTGCTGAAGATATTTAAATCATGTCTCAGACATTACATCATTTAACATAAAACAGGTGGACATTTCCTTAAAGCTCCAATGCCATTGCATGCTCAGATTTCCTTCGTTATCTGAGAAAGGCCTTTTTACCACTGCTCTGTTTGGATCAGAATACACCAGGCCAACGTCTTGCATGTGCTTGTTATGTCTCTCAAGTCTTTTGAAATCTCAACTGTTCTTCCCTGTCCTCTCTTCCTTCTCCTTCCATGACCTGTTAAGGACCCTGCATTGAGGTCCCGTGGATTCCCACAGCCTCAGCTTTCAGCCAACTGCTTCTACCCTCTCCTTTATCACTTGTGTTTCCCATAAAATGGAATTTAATTTTATGGGATCCATTAGATTCTGTTTTGGTTTGTTGGTTTCTGTTTGGTTTGGCAAGAGAGCTGTATAGGTAATGCCAAATAATTTCAACCGTGTCCCATCAGACAGCACTCAGTGTCTGGCTGTCCCATGTCAGTGACTGAGTGGTGGGTTCAGATTGCAACCCCCACCACTGGAAGATTCTCCAGCATCCTTTGGTCTAGTAGCTTTATCTAGTGATACCTTTCTCCCATGGACCAGATTTTCAGGAGTTGCAAACTGGTTTTTCAAGCTCCATCACCATTCCACATTTCTCAGCTAAAACCCATACACAACTAGGTCTACATATTCACTCAGAGATGTAGATTCAACAGGCAGGCTAAGCTCTCATTTTAGGACCAGCAAATGCTTTATGTTCAGGTTTTTAAAACAGGCCTGAGCAATAAATGCTTCCCTCCCTGTAAATGCCAAGCTCAGCCACTATTGAAGCAATGTGAGCATTGCTATTTGACGTGGGAGAAAGCTGAGCATGCCGCAAAGGTCCTGCACGGGGCTTCTTTTCTCCATGTCCTTTGAATTCTCAGCGATTCCATTGAATCAACTCTATGGCTTTGTTTGTCTCAAGTCCTCCTTTTTTGTGGCCACAGTCTTAACCCAGGTGTCTCGGACACGAGGGCTTCTTTTCCAGTTCTCGGTGTGTCCTATCTGGTGAAGCATTCTTCTTCCCCTCAAGAGGGTAGCATTGATAGGGAGCTGGGAGCCGGATATGTCTGCAGTGAACAGCCTGGCCTCAGGGCGCCTCCCCTCCAGCTCTGCATCCAGCCTCCCCTACCACCTCTGCCCCTTCCCATGCCCCACAGGCTGAGGCCAGCATCCCATCTTCTCCTCAGTCTGAACCAGCTCCCTCTTGCTGCTCCCCAAGTCACTGTGGTGCTTGCTGCTCCCAAGCACCAGTGTCTGTGCTGTGTCGGGAGGGAGCCGAGGGATGGATACTCCTGCTCCAGCCTAGCTCTGTGTCCACCGAGGTAAGAATACACCTTGGACTCTTGCAGAGGCCTGAAAGTACTGGACCTGGAACCCGGCGTCTCGCATCTTTGCTTCCCCCTGTCACACCCTGATTACCGGTGCACCCCAACCAACCTTCAGGCTCTCTCTGCAGCCTTGATTGACATCCGATAGCCCTGTAGGTGAAGACCAGTAGACCCTCCCCTCTCTCATCGCTTCCCTATGCGGGAGGTTCGTGGAAAGCCCACACCCCAAGCGGACCACCCAGCAAGAGTGAGCCTCACCCCCGACCCCCACCCCACCCCCGCCAGGGCTCCCTGGGGTGCTGCTCCAGCCAATAAGCATGACTCGATGATTCCACATGTCAGCTGCGAGGCCTCCGGGAACCAAAGTCGTCCCTGGCAGCCCCTGACTAAGAGCCGGCTCTCTGAATTTTTGTGTGGGCGCCCTCACCCCCCACCCCCACCCCCACCCCCACCCCCCACAGGAGCCTCCTGCTCACCCTCCCTTAAGAAACTCCACTCCGTTTTTAATCTTCCGGTGACCGAGGCAGGTACCTGTCACGGCGTAATTATGCACCACTTTCTCTGCCGTTGTCGCAGAACCGAAGCTTTTCCTTTCCTTCTGCTCACTGACATGACAGGCACCCACTTAGTGCAGAGATTATTAGTATAAAATTACTTTTTGGCCTTTAAATTTCACTATACCACATTCACAGCAATAAAATAAAACCCCAAATCCAGGTGTGCTTTTCAGGGAACGTGTCTGGGGCAATTACCTTCTGATAATGGCGTCCTGCACTTAAGCCTTTTGTCTGAGGATCTGGAAATCATTTTCATCCAACTCCATAATGATGTTCATTCTGGAAGGGACAGGAGGTGGAATGGTTGACCTCGTAGCGTCGTACACCAGAGATGAAGGAGATCGGGGACCCAGGTGTCTGCTTTGTTCTCACTCTCCTCCTCTTCTGGGTCTGTAAAGAGGCATGTCCGCCTTCTGGGGCACAGTGCTTTCCCCAGGTTAGCAATCTACCTTTGGGAGAGCATGAATAGATAAGTCTCTATATCGAATTCCATGGCGAGGAGCCGAGTCAAGGGAACGGAGTGTGGAAGATCTGTTACTCGGGAGAGCTTAACTGTGGGTTCAGCGGGCTCGTAGAGGAAGGGCAGCTGAGACAGAGCCATACAGGGCCATACACTGTCAAAATCAGTTCCTGGGCTGTCTGTGCGGCCGTGGGCTATAAAGGCAGGTGCCTCCGTCTCCACATCGGGAGTGCGTCCTGCTTGTCCTCCCTGGCTGTCTAAATGCCCAATCCTTCCTCCTCTGACAGAGTCATTCCAAGTTCTTGGGAGCCAGCTTACCCCATGTGTCCTTCTCCAATCCACCAGCCACCAGTCAGTTCTCTCGTTAACCACTGTATCATCTCCTCCCTCCACTCACGGAACTGAATATATGATTCGCAGGATATGAGCACCAATTCACTCTCCTTCCTCTAATGCTATTTTAACTCAGGCATGAATGTTTGTCTGTGTCTAGTGGGACCACTGGGCCTTGAGGGAAACACTCGTGCCTGTCCAGTGTGGTATTTCCCCTGGAGCCTCGATGTGATCCTTCGTAGACATCAGAAGCTCAGCGTTCACTTAGAGCAGCAGTTCTCAGCCTGTGGGTCACAACCCCTTTGGCGAACCTCTGTCTCAAAACATTTACATTATGGTTCCTAACAGTAGCAAAATCACAGATATGACGTAGCAATGAAAATAATGGTATAGTTGGGGGTCAGCACACCACAAGGAACTGTATTAAAGGGTCGCAGCATTAGGTAGGTTGAGAACCACTGGCCTAGAGAGCCTATTGGAGGCAGAATAGACAGTACTGTAGGATCCAATATGATAAGACACAGTCCTGAGTCCTCACTCTTGATCCACCACCGCACCCATCCTATGCTGTACTGTACGCCTGTGACAGTCGGTACTAATTGCTAACTTGACAGCTAGGAGACATGCCTCTGGGCTCACCTGGGTGAGGTTGTCTAAAGGTTAGCCTCTGAGAAGGTCTCTAGGGAACTGTCTTGATTGTGTTGATATGGACCATTCCCTGGGCTAGAGATCCCATGCTGTATATAATGGAAAGCGTAAGCCGAACATCAGCACGTAGGGGTTTATTGCTATCCTCTTCTGACTGTGGATGGACATAATCTTACCAACTGTGGCTTCCCTGACACTGAATTCCCTGCCATGTTGGGCTGTAGCCTGGAACTGTCAGTCAGTGAACCCCTTCTCCTTTAAGTTACTTTTGTCACGGAGTTTTGCCACAGAAACAGGAGAAGAAGCTAAGACAACGCGAAATACCGCAAGTATGAGTTGAGTTGGATGTTGGATGTTGTGAGAACACGTATAGACTGGGGTACCTTAACCAGTGGTGAGAGAAAGTAAGCACATAGCTGCTGTAGAACGGTGGACCATGATGGATGCTACAACCAAGACTCAGTCAAAGGGCTTCGCAGAGGGGCTGTGGCAGCCTCTGTTTGGAATTGGAGAAATGCCCATTCATTTAGTCAACAACTATGTATTGATAGCATGCGGAAACACCCCCAGTGCTGCTTCTCCAGAGGAGGGAGGCACCTGCCTGGACGGTCACGTGGCCATCTTTAGCGCCATCTCCTAGCTAACGCTGGCCCTGGGCCCTCCCTGCTTCAGCTGCTCCTCGTCTGTGAGCCCATGCAGCCTGGGGTGAAATGCTCCTGTGTGGCAGCAGATCCCTTCCGTTTATTCCACAAATATATGTTGATGGGAGCTGGGTTAGTGTTGGAGCTTCGTTGGAGAGGACCTGGCCCAGGTTTATATTCCAGAATGCAGTGTGGCATCCTCTAGATGTAATTGCAGAGGTCCAGACAGATTTCTCCTCTTTTCTGTTGTTAACCATAAAGCCATCCAGTTGTATAACCCCACCTGACTCCCAGTGCAGAAGGTATTCTAGGACTCTGAAGAGAGGTTATTATATATCCATTCCTCTTGGTACTGGCTTCTGGATCACAAACTAATTTCACTTCAGGAGCTCATTAACATTCACAGCCAGCTCTTCCCCTGTTTCCCAGTCTTCAAATGAAATACTGTCTGCAAAGGTATTAGTCAGTGAGAGCTACTAACACTGTTGCCCTTTTGATCTCCCCCAGGATCTTTTTCCCTGGAAGCCATCCCGTTAGAGGTGTGCAAGTAATGAAAGTTGGCAAGCTGCAGCTACATCAAGGCATGTTTCCTCAAGCCATGAAGAATCTGAGGCTGGTGAGTGTGCCAAGACTTGGGTTCTGCCTGGTGTACCTTCCTCTGGCTGTTGCCAGGCCTCTACTTGGTGATTGCTACGCTCTGTTTTTAGCACATGGGTACACACACACACACACACACACACACACACACACACACACACACACACATACACACAGTGTGCCCGAGTGTGCTGGTAAATGTTTAACAACCATCTCTCAAAACATTTGTCACACTTGCCAGTTTCTGTGGTATAAAATGTACCCAAATGTAATTCATTTTACACTGTCGGTGTAGAATCCGCCTGCTTGTGTATTATGTGTGCATGTGTATGTATAGGTGTGTGTGCATGCATGTGGAGACCAGAGGTCAACCAGGTGTCATTCCTCAAGAGCCAGCCACCTTATTTGGGGGAAACATGGGCTCTTTGCCGCTTGGAGCCCACTGATTGGACTAGACTGACTGGCCAGTGAGTACCAGGGATTTGACTGGCTCCATTTCCCCAGCATTGGGGATTTTAAGGCCACTCTTCTACACCCAGCTCCTAACATGGGTCCTAGGGCTCAACCTCGGGTCCTCATGCTTGCATAACAAACACTTAACCTACTGAACTATCTTCCCGGGCTCCTAATCATGATGATTTTAACAGTCACTCTTACAAACTGGGGTGAGTCTCAGAACACCACTACAAATGTGCTCTGTCCTACAAATTACCCTTCTCCACATGCTCTGAACACAGTATGTCTCTTCTTATGGTAGGCAAGACCTGGCCATCAGTCTCTAGCCTCTGCATCTCCCCTTTCTTCTCCCTGCTGCCAGAACAGGCTGTGGCCCTTTGTCAATCAATACTGATTTACCAACTCTTAGGTCTTTACCCTTCCTTTGGTCCGCTGAGTGAACTTTCCAATAGAAAACAATAACGTAGAGAAAGCTCCCCACATATATCATGTACCCAACCCAGGGTTGCCATGCTTAGAGGTATTTCATAAGTGATCACATTGGCCCTTCTGTTCGTGTGGGGCTCATACATACATGGTTATACTTGGTCCTTGTGACAGATGACAGTTGTAAGGCAAGACAAGTGTTTCCGCTCATGTTTGGAAAATGAAACACTAAGTTGAAGATGTGCAAAAGCCCATTTAAATCTCTCTGAGGCACAGCCAGTTCTGCATATTCTGTTTAATTCAATGTGAGTTGTTGATTAAATAACGTTGCTATTCTGAATGAGACCCATTATCGTCCCCACAGTTTAATGGAGGAGACAGACATGTGAAAAGGTTTTAAAATCCACACTAGAACGCAAGGCTCCTCCCTTCTCTCAACTGTCCCATTTAAGGGGATGATGCTTTCTGGAAACACTAAGTGTACAGAAATGCCTTCAAGCCTAGCTGAATCCCTGATGCCATTTTGGAGGCAAGGCGGGGGAGACGTGAGAGTGTGTCCGGCTCTCTTCCGTTCTTCACTGGGGGCCGAAACCTTACCATCATTGTAGAGCTTCAGCTGGGGCCGTCAAACACCCTCAGCTGCAAAGACAACCCAAGCCAGTCCACCCAGACATCTCAGTGTGGGCTTATGGGTGATGTGGCTTGTGCAGAGGATGCAGGCCATGGCCAGAACCTTCTGGGGACCCTCCGGAACAGCCTGTGACACCTCTTGTACTCAGTCTACCCCCTGTCATGCCTGTCCCCTTCTTGTGAGGTTGCCACCCCTATCCAGAAGCTTCTCTTGGAAATCTGCTGGCATTCCCTGCTCTTGGCACCAGAAATAAGTCCACGTGTGAGTGCTGAGCAAGGCCAAGGGAAGGGTGTTCTGGGAGTGGCATCGGGTCATCTGCCTTTAAAACATGGTCTCACCCAGGACAACCTGTTTGACTCAAAACAGTCCCAGGCTTATTCCAAACACTGTTGGCCTTAAGACAAGTCTCCAAGCTTCTGATAGGTTCTTATGAGTACCTCAAGAGCAAATATGTTCCCGGGCATCCTTGGTGGAGCATCAAGGGTGCCAGCTTTAGAGTCACGGGCTCAAGTTCTAGTCTGACCATGTAGCTTTTTAACTCGAAGCAAGACACTTAGTCTCTCTGATTATGATTTTATTTATTTTTTCTTTTTTTCTTTTTTCAAGAGACAGGGTTTCTCTGTGTAGTTTTGGTGCCTGTCCTGGATCTCGCTCTGTATACCAGGCTGGCCTTGAACTCACAGAGATCCTCCTGGCTCTGCCTCCCGAGTGCTGGGATTAAAAGTGCGCACCACCACTGCCCAGCCATGGTTTTAATTATTTGTTTGTTTGTTTGTTTGTTTGTTTGTTTGTTTTTAGATGAGGATAATAACTCATCTATAGCGTTGTTTGCAGAAGTGGTTGAGGCATCATTGAGGGTATGCTTGAGACTGCTCAAGCATTTGGGACCTTTATTGTGTTTACAGTTTGGGGTTGCAACATGGTCTTCCTCTTGAACAACTATATCCTTCATATTGGAGTGTTATCCCAAGGAGAGTGGGACTTCCTCAAGGGACTGATGTATCTTATGTGTCCCCTGATGGCACCAAACACAGACACTTGTGTCATTCCCCCAAACCAATTCCCGCTGGAGTGGGTGGATTTCTTAATGAATAGGAGCCCAGCAGGGCCCTGCTCTTTGAGGGACCTTTGAGGGACCTGTAGCAAACCTTCCATGACCATTTCTGAGCATTTCTTAGCAGATGACTCAAATCTACACTGTCCTGTGAGAACATGTGTGACCTGTGAGTGAAGGTGCAGGTCCCGGGCTTCCGGCAGAAAGCCTTTCTCCTGGGTTTCCCCAGCATTCAGGCAACCTGGAAAGCAGGAAGGAAGCCCTCTGCTTCACCCTTGTAACAGCTACGCTCTTTACTGGGTAAGCCCTGAGAATAATGAAATGAAACAGCTTCCGTACGGTTTTCAAAGCCCGAGCACGAAGCAGATCTGAGAGCATCTTCAGAAACAGGAATGGGAATGCCTCACGGGTTCAGCCCGGATCCAGCCTCCTGGAGGAGGGACCCGCTCACTCGGCCAGCTCTGATGTCCTTTGCTTGTCCCCTCTTTTCTCAGCTGGAGTTCACGTCTCAGGATGACCACACAGCCGTCCTGCCGTCCCTGCACAGCGCTCCTCTGCGTTTTCTCCCCTCTAACCCATTTCTTTCCAGATGTTTCTTGGAAGGCTTTTGTTACTAATCTGACTTCTGTGTCAGTGGGCAGATGTTTTTCTGTGGATTTGCTTGCTGCCGACTCCACGATCTGGCTCCGAGCCTGGTTCCTTTGCTCGTGGTACTTTGCTAGCAGAAGTCAAGTTACACTCATCCTTCCTTTTCCTGGATACCTTTTGCAAGCCAGGTTCACTATATGTTTCTTCTCCTCTTGTTTTGAGGATCTGTTTGACTAGTCTGGTCCTAAACAGGAAGTACAGGCTTCAGGACCCGGAAGTTGCTCCTTTCACTCATGCGCACTTGTCAGCTACACCCTCTCATCCAGGCGGATCCCACAGCACAACCGCGCAGGTCTCTGCTCCAGTCCGCACCCTGCTTTCCAGCCCTTCACGACAGCCAAATCATGCAGTTGTCCTCTTCCCATTTCTTAACTCTCTACAGTAGTTTTTAACCTCTGTGCTCATGTTCACATTTAGGAATCTGATCAGAGCCCCTGCCTCGCCAGAGGAAAGTGAACAGATCCACAGTGTTGTATGGAAGCCCCCAAGGCCTTTCTAAGGCCTTTCTTTATGCATGTTTGGCCCCTCTGCACATGCAGGGTCACAACTTGGCATGTGGATCCGTGGGAGGGAGGAAAAGAAGACAAAAGGGAAAAGGACATGGGGGCATGCCATAAATGCCACTGATGCCTTCAAAGTACCTGGCTCTGATACTTATGAATGTCACCTACTAAATTCCAATAGGAAATAATAACATCAGGTGTGTGTTTTTAAGCAAGAAAGAGCAGATGCAGCTAGAGAGATGGTTCAGTGTTTAAAAGTGCTTGCTGCTCTTCCAGAAAACATGAGTTCATTTCCCAACACTCACTTGAGAAGGCTCACAACCTCTTGTATCTCCGGCTTCAGAGAATCCAATACCCTCTTCTGACTTCTGTGGGTACCAGTACACATGTCCATGGGGGTGTGTGCTCATGCACGCGCGCGCACACACACTCACACATACTCACACGCATGCACACATTTTTAAACCAAATTTTATAAAAAGAGGAGGAAAACAAAAAATAATGGATGAAATACAAGCATTGTGATTAAACCATCTTAAGGAAAATAAGCATAAATTTCCCTATTAGCAATTCTAAACTCAATAGTGGCAAGGAGCTGGGTAGGAAACCTGGACTTGTGCCTCTGGCTGGCACCAACAAAGTGTAATCCTCAAACCCCCTTCCAGGGACAGCCGGATGGAACAAGGTTTGCATAAAATTCGGATTCTCAAAAGGCCTGTATTTCAGTTGAAAATCACTTACCATACAAAGAACCAGTCCTAATCTTTAACAGCAATCAGCAGACGCCAGCTTTGCGATAGCAGATGCATTAGAATCATTTGACAGTGATTTTACAACAGCCATTATCGAGATGCTTCAGTGAGCAATTACAAATACTATCCAAACAAACGAAAAAACAGAGAGTCTTGGTGAAGAGAGAGAAGATGTGAAGGAACAAATAGAAATTTAAGAGCCAATAAATTCAGTGAGCAAAATAGTGAAGAGGAACGCAGCATGGGAAGAGTGGTCACAGCGTGGACCGGGAAACTCAAAGACAGAAGGGTAGGAACTGCCCACTCTGAAAGCAATCACATAGGGAAAAAAGCATAGTAAAAGTAAAATTGAACAAGACCTTGAGGACCTGGGGACCAGTGACTAGTAATATTAGGCATCTGACATTACACTCCCAGAAAGAAGAGAAAAAGAGTAAATATAAAAGGAACTTGAAACAATAGAAGAGGCATCCAATCTAGAAAAGAAAAAGCAAGCTTTATCTCTGTCCACAGATGACAAAATTTTATGTGTTGAAAACATACACACAC